ACTACCCCACCACCCCACTACTGTTGCCGTCACAACCGCCACCTACACTCCACCCACCAACACCCATCGCCCCAACTCCTATACCACCACACCACCATTATCGTCATTACAGCTGCCCCTCCAAACAGAGGCAGATTCCGGTTCTTTTTCGGAAATTCCATTTCAGTTCCTACCAACTAATCGTGTGGTCAAATTTCATTCCAATTCCTTCAGAGTCAAATTCTTTTGATGGATTTCGATTCCCCATATTCAATTCTGCGAACCAAACGGCCCCTTAATTGTTCTTTGTATGCTCCGGATATGATTATTGGTTTCATGCATTGCTATGGACATAAGGTACCCTGCTGAATAGTAAAAGTCGAGTATCTGCTACAAATGCAAATGCTTTGAGAGAGGCTTCATCAAGGGGTATAAAAGTGGTGTTAGCCACTGGAAAAGTAAGGAAAATTATGATTTTGTGGTAACTTCTCAGAGTGTTTGCTTTGACTATCTTGCCTATGTTATGGTGCTTGCTTGGGTTTTTATTATTTTGCATGCAATCCTTGGAAACAGACTCGTCCAGCTGCTATAGCTCTATTGGAGATGGTGGATTTAGCAGGCCGAGATGGAATTGTCTCCGAGTATTCACCTGGTGTTTTCATACAGGTTGTCTACTTGCTAATTTTTTCAAGTTTCGCTTGTTACTTATCTTTCTATCTTAAAATGCCTGATGTTGGTCGACGACCCATTTTAACTGCAAATTGAAAAGTAGTTGAGTGGCAACCTGACTTAACACTGATTGCCTGTAGATCAAAGACTACAAGTTAATTTCATATCATTGATTAGTTGAGGGTGAAACTTTAGTATATGATGCAAAGAAGATACGCTAAGAAAGTTTGCATCCTTGAAAGTGGGAGATCTTGGTGGTTTGCATCCCAACTGGATTTATGAGATGCAAAGTGTCCTCCATTGAAAGTCTTGAAATGCCTGTCATGGGCTTACATGCAAAGTCTTAAAAAACATCTTTCTTACTAAAAACCACAAGTTCATGCTGTGATCTTTAAGGGATAAAACTAAGTTCACTCTTATGTGCTTTTGTACGAAAGAAACTACTTACTATTAGACCATTAGTAATACACCTCGAAACTTCGTTAACTAGTTCTTGGTTTTATGATTCTTCCTATGGATATTCTGTCTTTTATTCTTGAGGTAGTAAGGGGCTGTTTGGTTCATGCTGGGGAATGAAAATGTGAATGAAAATGAAAATGACAAACAATGAAAATGGGAATGAATTTTCATTCCCTCCGATTTAATCTAGAATGAAAATTTGGGCTTCTGGGGGAATGAGCTCATTATATTATATAATATCAAACAGTTTCTTTTATTTTCATTCTCATTGATTACTACTTAATTCCTCTAACCAAACACCCCTAAACATATAACAACTAGTGTATCTCCATGATTGCTACTTCACCCTTTTTGTAACGTTTGTAGCTCTGGGTTCAATGAAGTTTGATTTGTTGCTGACTTTGCTATTATACGTGTCATTTTCAGTCTATTTATCATTAAGAATATTTTCTTCTTTCTCTAACTCCCTACTTACAAATCTGTCAGGGTTTGCTTGTTTATGGCAAAGAAGGCCAGGAAATTCACAGAATAAATTTGAATCAAGATGTTTGCAGAGAGGTAATTTTATTTATGATTCTTAAGTTCTCTGTAACTTCAAATTCTATCATGTGATGCTCCATTGTGCGATCTCTTCCTTTCTTCTCTAACCCTCCCCTCTCCCTCTCTTATAATATATCCGAATAACAAGAGTTCAGAATGCTGTATTTGACTATATTTCTGGAAGTGTTTGTAGTTAAATTATCTTGAGTTTGGATGCCTGATATACTGCAAGTGATGCAGGCATTTGATTACTCTGTCAAGCACAGTATTCCACTAATCGCGTTCAGTGAGAGTCGATGCTTGACCCTATTTAACCATCCTCTCGTAGACTCCCTCCACACTGTGTATCTTGAGCCGAAGGTACTTTTTCATTTGTGCCACACAAGTTCAGTTGATCTCTGTGGGCCTCTAACACTTGTTTAGCAAACCATTGACAGGCAGAGATTATGCCTTCAGTGGAGCAGCTTTTAAGTAGTGGTGATGTACAGGTATGTAATTAGTTTCCTGAGGAAGATGTATCTTATGGTTTGTTTCTATTATGTTCATCCTTCTAAATTTCTTTTGATAACTGACAAGAACATGCTATAGAGTGCCAGCCATTGAATGCTTAGTCGTAAAGAAAGGTTATATAGCCATGTTTATGGGCTAGAAGTGAATTTCTGACCGGCCCTTAATTCAAGCATGCAAATTACATTGGTAGAGGAGTATAACATCTGTATGCTCATCCATGTCTACTTCTTTATGTTGTTAAATTCAAACTACAGAAGGTGGTATTTCTAGACACTGCTGAAGGGGTGGCTGGTACCCTCAGGCCATACTGGGAAGAAGCAATAGCAGGTCGTGCCTGTGCTGTCCAAGCACAGGCAGATATGCTTGAAATTGTACCCATTGGTACTTCTAAGGGCAGTGGAGTAAGAAAGCTGCTGGACCATTTTGGTGCTACTGCAAGTGAGGTGTGTGCCATGGAACTTTCATCTATCATATACCTTGTACCATCACTTGTGTTTTATTTTAATCCACATAAATTATTAATTTCCTTGAAGCATATTCCTTTGTTCCAAAATTAAAAAAAAAAGAATTGTTATCCAACTGGCCATAAACAACCACCCCTCTTTTAATATATAGACAATAGACAATAGACATGGATTTAACAATCAGAACAACGGCTGCAGCAGCAGCAAAAACTACCTTGCCTGAATTGTTAACAGAACAAGTGTCTTTTAAGTTGAGATCTAACTTCTTACTTGAAGGCTAAACAGACCAAGGGAGATCCTAGGTATGATTAGTTCTATGAACCACAGTCAAGGGGACAAAACAAGAATCACACCACTACTATCTTTTTGTAATGGATGCCTTAAGAAAGCATTATAGCGGTGGATTAGGCATGATGAGAAACATGTAACTGACAGCTTATCATTATAGGCACCTCTCCTCATTTGCTAATGTCAACGACGAAATGTGGGTGTAGTACCAAATGTGCCCAAAGAATCTTCACCTTCTTTTTTATAACTTGTGTGATCCCTATTTGAAACACTTGACTCTTTCTTACAAATGGTGATCAGGTAATGGCAATTGGTGATGGCGAAAATGATGTTGAGATGATGGAATTGGCTTCTTTAGGCGTAGCTATGAGTAATGGATCAGAGAAGACAAAAGCTGTGGCTAACGTGATTGGTGCCAGCAATGACGAAGATGGAGTTGCTGATGCTATATACAGGTATGCATTTTAAACAACATTTGAGCTTGAAGACTCGAAAACTTGTATCCTTTTCATAGTTCCTTTTATTCATTTATGCCCCCCCTTGGGATTCCTATTCATTATTGAGTTAGCTAGCTAGATACTGGTGAAAACATAAAGAAACAAAGAGGGCAAGTTGTCATTGGTCCAAGAGACCTTGTTTCTCCTCGTTGTAAAGTTAGGAAATCCTCTAATTAAACAACTCTTCTTGTATCCTCATTTCCCATTTGATGATGTCCAAGTTTCCCCTTCAAGCATTTGTGTAAATGTGCTGCTTATTGGGAGTGGGAGGGTTATCTTTGATGGCACGAGTCGAATGGCTTTAGTGTGTCTTGGTGCGTAAATGGCTTTAGTGTTTTTTTTTATCATGCCTTGTGCGTGTATATATGTCATCTGGTGAGCGCTTACCCAGTTTGTGTTGGTAAACAACCTTTGATGAACAAAATGTTGGATCCAATCTTACCAACAATCTAATGTTTAGATTAAGGAACTAAAATTGATTTTGGTTTGCTATTTGTGGATAGATATGTATGTGACGAGATGATTGCACGATTCTTAATCTACTTGCATTCGCGAAGGAAATACGTTGGTTCATGTTTGTTTTTCTTGAACCGGTTAAAAATAGTATTAAACAGATGAAAAACTAGTACAATGTTAGGAAAAACAAAGACATCATTTGGATCTAACCTTAAAAAAACCAACAATCTATTTAAAATGCATGAACCACAAACAAAACCAACCATCTTAGGATCTGTGAACATAACCAAATAAAACTTGTTAATGGGTCCAATCAATGCCCATTTCTTAAAAATAATTTTCCAATATTGCATCATTTCCAATCATATGTGAAATCAAATTGACGAATGTATGACTCACGTTCATCTTTTACAATCATGTTGTGCATTATTACACATGCTCGTAGTATTTCTCCGATTATTTCCTTGAACCACATCCATGATGGACCTTTAACTATATAGCAAATCATGATTGTAATACTCGGAACGCTCTTTCTACATCTTTCCTAGCTGATTCTTGTTTTTTTTTTTGCAAATAGCTGATGTTTTTGACTTTGGGGCAATGAGATTGACTTCATAAACCTAACTCTGTGAGGGTAGATTCCATTTGGAAAATAGTATTCTAAACTATAGTTGTTACCATTAGCAGAGAAATTAACCTCTGGTGCTTTCCTTTCTAAGACCTCGTGGAAGAATCTATAATATATTATAAAACATTTGATAAAAACTCTTAAAAACTATTTTTTATACATAAAATACTGTTTATTGATGAATGTTACTTAAAATTCAAGATTACAATTAGATTGTGCGTAAGTACAACTTTTAAAACTTCATGTCTGAATTCGTGTAACTAACTGCAGATAAACATCTCATTTTAAATATAAAAAACCTAAAATATAATTAGGATAATCATTGAGTTCTAAAGAAACACTTAATTATTATCTTTATAAAATGTTATATTATTAAACAAAAAATAAATCACTTCGTTATTAAACTTAAATTAAATTATAATAAAAAATAAATTAAAGAAATTACACAAAAAATGAGAACTTTTAAATAGTCAATTTGATACTAACACTGATATAAGAAAAAATTCAAAATTTTATGATATCTTCAAATTTATATTTTATTCCAAAATAAAATCGTTATCCGCTTTCTTAAAAACACATAAAATCGTATATAACATCGATAGCGACAAAGAATAAACTAAAACATTAAAATCGAGATTTATCTCGCTACATTGTGCGAGTAGCCTTCTAGTTTTAATAATGTCTATGTAATACAAAAATTAAAGTTATACTTATTTTATTTCATAGATAATAAAAACGTGTTAAATATTTAAAAAATATATTTAATTTAATTATTAAATATATTTTTAAAAAAATATTAATTAATTAAGATATACAAGACTATTTTTATTTCATTCACATTACATGTAATTGTTATTTAAAATCATAAATAATTTTTTAATAAATTTAAATATTATAATATATATAATAATTAATTTGAAATTATTTAACTAAAATAACTTTTTTTTTTAATTTTTTATCATCTTATATTCTTAAATATTTGTTTCAATTATATTTTAAAATATTATAATTAAATAATTTTTTAATTATTTTACATTGTTATCATCTTATCGAAGTTTACTCTTAAATAACAAATAACAAACCTTCCCGACGTGATTTTCCCCACCTCGATTCTCCATTTTGGCGTCTCCTCCTTTGCTTTTGGTTTATATGAAACGGCGATGCATGAATCCTTCCCCGCCATGGATCCTCCCCCTTGCTTCGATCCCCTTCTCCGGTCACCTCTCCCCTTCGCCGTTTCGACGGCCACCACCACTCATCTAACCAGCTCCGCTCACTTCTTTCCCTCACTGTTTCGACCGCCTCCACACCTGCCCCGTTTTTCTAATTTCCCTATCTCGTTTTGGTGACTTTGCTTCGTAGATGGACTCAACTCTTCTCCACACCTGCAACTCCTCTCCTCCCCCGCTTCGTAGATGGATCTGTTTTGGTGACTAGGGTTTATATTTGGGTTGATTTTTGGATATTCTGATTTATTTTTGGTTGATTTTTTTTGTGATTTAGGGTTAGGGTTAGGGTTATAGGGCTAGGGCTAGGGTTAGGGCTAGGGCGTAAAGAAAACTGAACCCACATGTTAACGTCCCAATTAAACCCAAAACGTTAACCCATCTCACCAATATATATAGCTTGGGTAAAATTTTATTTATACTTACATATAATATACTAGTCTGTAAGATATATACGGTGAGAATGAAAGTTATGATGAAAAGAGAAAAAAGTGATTTCTATGTTCGTATCAATCCTAACCGAAGATCAACTTTAATGTGGTGCATCAGATCAATTCCCGTAAAAAATGCAGTTCATAGGATGGATGAGATTAAAAGTGATAAAAGATCGTGTGTTTGTTATGATACTGTGGTCGTCGTTTGAGGTTAAGAAATAAATCATTATTAGATTCCCTCATGATTCTCATCTTGTTTGAATCTCGAAATAAATAATGAATAATGAAAATGGGTTTTAATCACTTTTTATTGGATTATTACTATTCTAGATACATCGATTGAGAAATGATACATTGTCTTTATTCGTTCAAAAAAATTGTTCAGGGAACTAATCACTTAAAATATGAAAGTTTATTGTTTTTCTAGGTTAAAGTAAGTTTAAGGATTTATTTGTACAAAAAAACAGTTTAAAGACTTGATCACTCAAAACATGATATTTCGTTGGGTTTTTTTAGACTTTTCCTTTTAAAATATGTTATATACTTACTACTAAAAAGTATAATTAAAAAAAATTATCCCGTTACAAAACCGCCCATTGGACCATGGAAAGCCATATACTTAATATGACGTTAGACACGAGTCTTGAGCCACTTTTAGAACAATGGATAGGAGAATTCAAGTCCATACATCATGTCTAATATATATTATACAAGGGTTGCACACGGGTTGGATTTGCAGAGTTGAAAGCATTTAAACAACCTAACCCAATGTTTACGGTTTGAAAGATCTCAAACCTATGCAACTCAAATCGTGCTGATTGATTTGAAATTTTGGTACATCATTTTACAATCTAGCTAATATATTGTGTTTAAACGATAAAATCGAACAAAATGAGAACATTTAAAGAAGGCCAACGAACTTAGAAAACAGATTTAAGGTACTTATAATAAGAAAGTAAAATTACGGTTGAAATTGTGACATTACTATAAATAGAGCTAATTACAGGTAGGTCTAATGTCTATGTACATATATTAATTAAGAACTTAACAATCATATTAAATTCGTTTTATTCCCGCTTAGGGGATGTTTATCAAACACTTACCCAATAAGTGTTTATCGGTAAAATTTAACAATAATATTTACTTATCGGGTAAGATTTTGGTCCACCAAAACGACATCCTATGCAACAATTTACCTTGTAAGCACTTACCGTGGTAAGAGTCGTTACCCTCACTTACCGGGTAAGACTTTTGGTCCTTGTTTTGCTCTTACCAGGTAAGATTCTTGGTCCTTACTATATTCATCAGGTAAGGTTGTATGACTTGATACGCGCTTACCCGGGTAAGCGTTTGGTAAACAACCCCTTAGTCTATTTCTTGATGTTAAATGAAACATATTTTCTATTTTCACATTCGATGAAACATGCTCTATATTTTCAAGTTATACAAAATATATTTGTATTAAAAATATTATATAAAACAGTTGTATTAGTTTAACCAAACATCATCAATATTGTGCTTATTACTATTCCCATTCTCCTACAGACAAAAGATAGTGTGAGAAGGGAAGTTATAGTGAGAAGTCTGAAAAAAACATCTGAACTTTTGATCACTTTTAATCGCATGCCCACCCGTGAATTGAGCTTTAGAAGGGAGTTGATCTGGTGCATTTCAATGCATTAGTGTTTGCATTCAATTAGGGTTGATCAAGGATAGAGGTTTCACCATAACCTCCTTTCTCATCGAAACCCGACCCTTCGCCTACCTTCCCATTTACATTTGACAAATTTCATTATGCCACAAGCTAAAATTCAGTTCTCACTTAATTACCGTCGAACAAAGGAACTAGTGAAAGGTGTTTAATACAAGATTTTATTACGTTCATAGATTTCAATGTTGTCATTGTCTAAATGTTGTACTGATGGAACCACAAGAGTGGTGCCCTATTGGTTTGAATTTGGCTCCAAAGGTCAAAAGTACCATGAAGTCTCAGGTTCAAATCCAAGAAGGAATAAAAATCCATTTGTGGCCACAGAAGTTCAAATGCGATGACTCCGGGCTATCTGCAAAGCAGGTGGTCGCCCTGGGATTAGTCAGCTCGCATAGCGGGTTGGATATCCAGGTTAATAAAAAAAATGTTGTACTGATGGAACGACTTTGCTCGAGTCTATTTGAGTTCGAACGAAGCAATCCATCTACTTTTTTTTTTCTAACATCAATAATTATTATACAAGTAAAAAAATATTAAAAAACTAATAAAATAAGATTTGACACAAAAATTAAGATAAGAACTAAAGTTCTGTATAAAAACTCAAAACTAATGACATTTAACAACTACCAAACCAAACCAATGTGGGTCCAAATCAATGTGATTCTACACTAACAGTCAATGTAAGCGTGTGCAGATGGCATGGCATGGGATCTTAGGTCACGGTCAAAGTTGCGTGAATTACATGTGATTTTAGTATAAAATCACATGTGACTCCACCGTTTTCTTATTATCTTATTTGGTTGTTGTTCTCGTATAAACCCGACTCTAGTTTTATATATATAACAAATAGAATTGGGTTCCGGTGAGAATGCAAGTTATGGTGAAAACTTTGATCAAATCCTAATTGAATCTCAACAATAATGAGATGCACCGGATCAATTCCCGTATCAAGCGCAATTTATGGGATGGGTGGGAGTGAGATTAAAAGTGATCAAGGGTTCAGATCTCTTCTTACGCTTCTCACTTCAACTCCTATTCCCACACGATCCTTCGTCATAACAAACATACATATACGTAAGCTTTCCTTTTTTTCTTTGCACCTTGTCTTTCATCCACACAAGTGTGACACATGTTTATGCCAATCATTTTTTTTTGGTTAATTGTGGGTGTCCGGGCTAGCTTAAGCACACCTTAACTAATCCCATGAAGACCCTGAATATAACAACCTTCGAAAAATTGTATAAAATAACAAACCGATGGTGCTTTATAACATTCAACATGAAAATTGTTGCAATTCATTTTAGACGAATGGAAAGGAACATGCGATTCCATTTAAAGAGAGACTTATCTGCTTCACACTCGAACCCGAAAAGTGCAGAAAAGAGTAGGTTTCTCAAATGCCAACTTAAGCAAACTATAGTAACACAGGTTGATGCATAAAAAGGTGTTAAGTACACATCTCACTGTTACAGAACGGAAACGTACAGTTTGGGGACCGCAGCAGAAACGTAAACTTGATATAGACAACACCAAGAAGTGGTCGTTACCTCTTTCTTAAGCGGTTTTATCGTAAAGTAAGCGTGTGTTTTTCCGAGCACACTCCAAGATGGTTTTGTCAGCAGTGACGAAGTATGCTGCAATGGATGCTGTTTTAAAAAAGAAGGAAGAAAAGGTAAATTGATTTTAGATAACCTTTATAAGAACCTTGGCACATATTAGAGAACGATCGATCTAGAGATTATGCCTTAGTGGATATCGTAAAAACTCATGATCATAAAAAAAAATACAAATTAAAATAAAAAAATCAAAAATGGGGAAGGGTATACATGATGTGATTTGTGCAAGGTTCTAAATGGTGTGATGCATGACGGGAAGTTCATCTCTCAAGCCTTAAAGAGCCATGATGAGGCCATGACGTTTCAAAGCATGGCATAAGCGGCAAGTCTGTATATCATATATGAATACATATATATATTTTACTGTTACTCAGTGACATTGAACCCTTTAATTTCGTATAAAAAGAAGAAAAGGCATATATAAAATATAGCTCACAAAGAAGTGTTATATCAAGAGCTCATAACAAAGTAAAAACTGATAATTAAACGTGTCTCCAGATGCCATGGCGTTAAGGTGTTCACCTCTCCTTACACAACAACTTCGGGGTTAACATGGCATCGGAGACATGTCTTGCGCCATGGCGCCCTTTTAGAGAACCCTGGATATATGTCATGCTTCGTTAAGCAGACAACAAGATCATGATACCTATATTCGTTCCTCGAATGTGGTAGTTGCATATTTTGCCCATCACATGAAAAAAGCAACATTACTATTTGACATGCATTTTAAGAGTGATTTGTCATCTGAAGCAAATTTCTGAAGATTTTTTTCTTCCCAGGTAATAATGTGCTAAATAGTGGGATTTCGGATTATCAATTCAGTCACATTTATCAGGTTATACCCCCAATATTTACATGTTTCGCAACTGTACCTCACAAAAATAAATCGTAGTAATGCCCCCTCCCTCTCTCTTCCTTGATGTCCTTTCAGTTTCTAATTTCTCACCAGACTGGAAGTGTTAATTTTCCAGTTTACTTGAAAGCCTGATCTTGATTCTAACGGGTTCAGTTGCCCGTGGAAACCGATTTCAGAAGTGTCAAGGACAGCCATATGACCAAGAATCCACCAAGATCTGCAACTGACTGGTGCCTTATGATATTGGTACTTGTATAGTATTGTGGAATGCTATAGAGTGCAATGTATGGCTAAAATGGTTTTGGTTTGAATGTCCATAGCTCAGGTTGCTATACACCATCATATATTAGATGTAAGAAGTCCCTTCATAGACTTCTTGTAGAAAAGATTTATATGGATCTACCACCATTTGTGGTTCAAGAGGAGACCTCAAAGGTTTATAAGTTTCAAAGGTTTTCGTATAACCTTAAGTGGTCACTCAGGGCTTAGTTTGGTCTTTTACATATGCTCTCAGTTGGATTAGCAAGTCTAAGATCATGATTATGTCTTCTCAACACAGGGTAGTGTCAGGAAAGAAAAATCATTTTGGTGGTGGACGTTCAAGTTTTTTCTGGGATAGTTTCAGGTTACAGCCCCCAGCAGATGCATTTTGAAGATTGAGATCTCACATATAACCTTTAGTTTTGTAGGAAGATGTTCTACATCATCTATCTAAGCATGGATTACAAGGTAAGCTAGTAGATTCTCAAGTAATGCAAAAATGCCAACTTATTGACCATAGGCAAGAAAACTCTCAAGCAAAGATGAAGAGGAGATTTGTTCGAAAGCTTCGTCATATGACAGTCAGCCAATTTGACTCAATGCTGCAACAGTGAGCTTATTGGTTGTTTTATATCTATTCTGTCACTAGCTAATGGGATGTTGTACTGCGTATCATGCAATATCTTTGATGGTACTCCTGGAAGTGGCAGTCTTTGTGTAAATCAGATACACCACATAGATGATTTTTTACGAGGATGTCTTTTGAGGCAGTCGAGATGTCTACTGTGAGATGATTCAACTTACCAATTTCTGCAAAGCCAGGAATTCTATGCAAGTTGATGCTTTTGTTATATGGCAATTACGCAACCATTCACATTGCAAAGGGTCTTGAGTGGGTCAAACATCTACAGGCTGATTGTATTTTGGTCAATAATCATGTCGTAAGTACTCCTACTGAGCACGTTCACACTCTGACCAGCTCGCTGGCTAACATTGAAGGGATCAGATTTGAGTTTATATGTAGCATCTAGCAAGTTGGGCTATTAAACAAGGTATTATCTATTAGTTAAATTACTTCATTATGCTGTCAATATATTATGGTTACATAAACATGGAATAAATAGATAAGCTCTACGCAGGATAAGTTGTAGATATCCCTATACCTCAAGTGGCATGATAAGCATCTAAATTAGTTTTCCATGTTTTTGTATTTATTTGTCCAAGCCCACACCACCATATGTATGATATGCTTTGGGGTTTGTTATCAATAATATTCATTAGGTTGTAACTCTAAATCTTTACAAAATCTATTTATTCACCCAGGCACCCTTTGATTGACAATAAGGTGTCTCCTACAGAATGTGAAAAAAAATGCCCTTTCTTTATCATATGAAATGTAGACGGACTTTTGCTTTCTAAATAAAACCCCTTGTTTTTTTGTGCTGATTTCAAGGCCTTTTATTGGAACATATAATCAAATTATACACCCCTTCGTTCCAAAATCAGACTGTCTTAGTATTTTAGTCAAACAAGTAAATCTGAATCCGAAGTTGTAATAGATCAATCTAAAACCAGTGGAAACATAGATCTAGTACATATTCCTCCCAAATAAGTTGGTGATTCTTCAAAAAAATTATGAAACCACGGTATAAAAAATGAACTATTTAATCGCAAAAGCCAAGTGTGTCTGCAGCTGTAGAACAGAGTATATCTAAAAGAAACTTAGAGTGTTCTTATTCGTAGACTACTTATTTGGATAAGCAAGTCCGCAAGGAGCAGATAATTTGAGATCGACGTAAAATCACTAAGCTTACCTGGCTTCATAGATCTTTAGCTATAATAAGAAGTCGGTTTTGAATCTAGGTTTTCAAAATGCAAGCAAACCAAAAATAAATTAAAGCTAGAAAGTTCAGACTGTACCAGCAGATATAATGAGTGCCTGAGCAGTATAATTTAGGTTTGCCTTCGCCCATGGAATTGTCCGGACAGCAACCAACTGAAAATAGGAGAATTGCAAATATTTCAGTGGCAATAAGATAACATGAATAACAGCACAGGGATGCTATACATTACTGAGACTTATCCAGAATACATATAACTTCTTTGGCTACTGGTCAAACATCCAGATTGAATTGAATATCATGTGAAGTGTGGACAGAGTCAATATAATTGGGTAAAAAGGATAATAATGCAACTCAGTTTGGAAATTCCAAAACAGAAATTGCCTCTTTTTCTATTCCAGTAGTCTTATGCGGTCTGGTCTGTCCATTAGTCAGCATAAACGGGCATGTCGGTGAATCAGCCACAATCCACATTGGCCGGGCGTGCTTCGACCGTGTCTCTGGGGCACAGTTTAATGTAGATATCAAGGAACTCTTCTTCCTACTTAAAAAAGATTTTTTCGGTATTTTCTTAGTAGCTCTATACTTTCACCTGCTTGAAGACCCACTTCTCATTCAATTTGCGGGAATTTTCTGATCTATAAACTGTCCAAAGGAGGAATCCCATGCCTGTCTATTGCTAAGGGTTCAGTCGACAAGTGAATCTAACTCTCAGTTTGGTCCTACTTCTGATTCATTATGTTACTAAAAAAGGGAATCAATCGGGATGCCCCCTTGTTGTTGATTGAACAGTGGAGATTCTCATACTTGTCTACTCACTCCGGTGGGATTCCAAGATGAAAAGGGATCAATCCAATTACAGCTGTCAGCTTGATATGAATTGATATGAATTCAGAATCCACCAACACTTTTCTTAACAAAAAATGGCTTAGCTTCAACGGTATGAGCCACCTTAGGAATTGGAGGTTGTTTCCTCAATTTTGAGGGGAATATAGGAATATATGACAGTTCCCTTGGCCATCAAAGCCAAATCTGGACTTCTCTCCTTTTCCTCTTTCCTTTCCAGAACAAATGAGGTATGTAATTGTAGATACCCACAGACACCAAAATCAGAAGCAAAATTTTTGAATGAAACCGCCAAATATAAAGCTACCAACCGTAGGGACTGCACTGGCAACACATGCAACTGAAGCTGCCTTCATTCCTTCACGAACCCCTTCTGCAAATTACGTACAAAATGGTTAAAATCATAAAGAACGATCAAGACCTTCATATTTTGTTGAGAATAATATAAAAATGTTGGATGAGGGAGTTAGCTACAGATTGTATACTTGACAGCTATTTCATGGATGGGAGCATGCGGGTATTAGGCCCTAGCCCAAAACTGTGAGAAGATGGTTATTCCAGATACTTAGAAAGACAATTTATCTCTCATATCTTTTGATTGTCTAATCCCTCTCATAGAAGGAGCAGATTTTTTGTTCTTGATGTGCCACGGATTTCACAAATTTAATAAGAATGTTAGCAATGATCATGAAGGTAAACAAATTGTTGAACAATACTGTGTATTTGATTTAATGTGTTCTGCATTTATTATTTGTTCCATGTCTTGGAGATTTGCCATCCTACCAAGAAATATAGTCATAAGAACATTTCTACTTTGAGTATGCCTCTCCCATGGCTATCTTCTTTTCATACAGCCATACATTAATCTTCTTTGGAAGGGACAATTCTTCTATTTTCTTTGGCTTTATTTCTTGTTGGTTTGATGAGTTTCCATTTGTCATAAGCTTCTAACCGTTGATGTTGGACCAAAACCATTTAAAAGTTAAGAAGTCAAGCTAGCTATTATTAGTGGAGATGCTTCCTAGAGGGTTCTGCTGATGACTGTTTGGTTTTAAAACAGAAAATGACATGTACCCGGGGGCGGGGGGGGGGGGGGGTCATTAGGATCTGATGTTTTACCAAGCCACTAAAATATGAAGTATGTGTGTCAAAAGTATAGAGGAAAACATTACAAAATGTAAGCTATAATATAATGGAAATGTACATATGGTATGAGAGAAGATAATGAAGAAATCCAAATAACAAAGGACAAAGCTGACCAATAATTAAATGAATGCCACATCTCCTTCTAGCAATTGAAGAACAGTTGTTTTAGCAAATCCTGCAACTAAGCATCTATCTTTTTATCACATTAAACTTAAACTTAGAACATCATATATGCATGTATATGCATGTACAAGCATGGAGATAGCTATAAAGACTGAACATCGTTTCCAACCGTCATCTGTAGAGTCTATGATAGCAAACTAAGATTCAAAATACCAAACCAAACGAGCCAAGTCTATCCCATTCCCACCCAGAGGTGGTATCTAGGGAAAAAGATTCAAAGTGATTAGCAAAGGAAAAAAGAAGTGTAGGACCAAACTTGATCCAAATTATATCCCTTTTTTCTCCCGAAAATTTTATGAGGAACCGTTTTTGTTTTATCAAATGTTTATGACTGCACGGTAAACTCAAGCAGTTTTCATGATAAGGGTTCATGTAAATTCTTGAGTTCTTATAGAGTAAATCTTGTATTCATCTATATGTGATTACGAGGGAAGACATGGTGACTACAGTTGGTTCTGCCAATATGGTCTTTTGTTGCATTTCATCTACTAAGATTCTTCCGTCTTTCTAGTTTTCCTTAGTTCAAGTTCTTGACCTTGTTTAAAAGCGACGGGGCTTACTTTCTCTTTGGTTCAGCTAATGTACTACTGTGCATCCATAGGCTTGGGAGAAACTTCTCTTGTTAATATGATTGTGAAAGGTACATCTACAGCACATCCTCCTCAAACAATTGGGTATACAGTAGATGTGAAGGTTTGCTGCAAATTGTTTTGACACCATAGATAGCTTGCACCAAAGGAATGATGGTTTTAATGACTAACTTCTTGTTATTTTAATGCAGCATTTTACTTATGAAACTCCTAGTAGCTCTTCAGATAGCAATTAAAGGTGACAAGGATAAGGAATTCTTCATTGAACTCTGGGATGTCTCTGGACATGGCGGCAATACAGAATGTTGTTCCATTTTTTATTCTCATATAAAAGGTATGTACTGAAACTTCTTATTTGTCCAAACAACAACCTTGATTCAAAAGTAAAGTCAAAATTAAAGACAGGAATTTTGACAGTTTGATTGTGATCTACTTTTCACTATTCAGCTGGTCAGTTCAACACTTGTGCAAGTGTGACTGCCCTTTACTAAGACCTGGCTTTGAAGTGTTTGGGAAGGAAGTATTTGTACACAACCTTTTCCTTGCATTTAGTTTGTTTACTGAAACTGATAGATACTCCTTGATCAGGTGTACCATCAGTTGTAAATTTGATTCTGTCACTTTTGTGATGTAAAATCTGCATATATGTCTATATTTATGCTTAGCGACTATTCTGTTGCATATGTGGTTAAACTTGCACCTCTAACTTAACTTGCTTTTTTGCCATTAAGTGTATGCAGGTGTTATTTTTGTACATGATCACTCTCAAAGAGGGACAAATACAAGTTTGAAGAAATGGGTCACAGATATTGCAGCAACTGGGACAACTCAGCCCCTCTAGCAAATGGTGGACCTGGTCGCCTCCCTGTACCATTCCTTGTCATTGGTAACAAAGCAGATGTAGCTGAAAAAGGAGCAAGAGGTAGCAGTGGCAATCTTGTTGACATGGCTTGCCAATGAGTTGAGAAGCAGGTTTGCTTTCATCAAACTAAGAACTTCCTCTGATTGACAGTTTTCCTGGAAGCGGAGGGCTTATGACAGCTTTGCATAGAGTAATGAATTATCATCAAGTAATGCATTTTTCAGAACCTAGTTATCCCGACATTAAGGGAGTAAACAACAAAGAACTGTTCTTTCTAAACCGAGCAGAAGATCTGATACTGATTGTGATCACCGGATGTTCATGAATCCATATCCAAGGGAATGAAACTTTTGCCGTCCGCCATTGACTCACCTTGGGTACTTCGCCAAGGAATACACAAGTTTGGGATTCAAACTCCAAGCCTCTTAGTTATTTCAAACGAAGTCTCAAACACTCAAGCATACTTCGCTTGGTCCTTGCAACAAGTTTTTCTTTATGTTTTGCAATAAACTTCTGAACCCTGGCTATGTTGCTGATCACAAATGGTTATTACCACCTTCTGGTATTGTCTTCCACACTTGATTGCAACCCTCTCAAACACCTTAGGGGATTATGTCCTTACAAGCAGCCAAAGAAGAGGTTCCCATGGCTCTTGATAATCGGTGTGCGACCTGTTGCTTTGAATCTCAGCAACAGGTCCAAATAGCCCTCTTGTATATGAGAAAATTCAATATCAAAATTAAAGTGTTAAGTCACTTTAAATCCCACTTATTTTACCTTCTCAGAACAAGGAACTTTCCAAACGACAAACAAATCATGAGTGACAGGATTACATGGACCTATTAATTAAAACGTTGGGTTGAAATTTTTCCTATCTTCATTAATTTTTCTGCGAATTAACAACCAACCGCTTTACTTTTGTTGGGAACACTCAATGTGATAATATAAAGGAGCACTTTTCTTGGATGCTTTATAGTTTGTGAGTGTCTCTCACTCTAGTGTTGAGATCTACGACCAGATAGTTTATATTCTTAAACCCCAGATAGTATCTACTGATGTACCAAAGTGAACTCACAAGTTCTATTTGTTGGAGAAACTTAGATGGTAAACATGCTGCAAAAAGTGATACGTTGGTTTAAGAGAGATAGAGGGAGGGGAAAGGTGGGGTAAACAAAACCATAATGATTGAAAACAGAAACTAAGGTGATGACTGATTATGAATATCAGCGAACTTCAAGTGTTCACGTTGAGAAACCAACTGCCGTACGAAGACCGTACGAAGAACGAACACCTTCCAGTATTTTAAATCAGAAAATTATTCACACGAATAACATTTTAGAGGCAATCATTTCAGGAACGGAATGACGGTCAATTTGATCCTTTAACACCAAATTAAATAACCCTCACCCCTGGCGAAGGAATCATTACGCAAAGCACACACAAAAAAATCGCATTCCTTCTATAACGAATCCCCCAAGATAAAACAACATAAATTTGAATTTGAGACGCAACGCAAGAAAGAAAAAAGGGAAAAGTACCAATTCAATGAAAATTTGATTCACCTTGAGTACACATTTGCGATCTGAGAAACTTGAGATCCTCTTCAGGAGAAGCAATCATAAAACTTGATGATTTCCTCCTGTTGTTTACCCAGGCGTCTCTCATATCCATCGGAATTCCCATTTTCACTCTTTGTTTCTCTAATCCAACAAAAACAACCTTTATTTCAACCTACAAACGATTCAGATATGGAGAAAATTTGAAGAATTGAAGGAAGTTGTAGGCATATGGATCCTTACATATATGTATTTCAGAAGAATGGTAGGAGAGCTGTTGTGGCAGGCGGTGGAAATCTGAATGATGCCGCTGTTTTGGATACCGGGGGCTTAACAAATCGAATATGAGTTTGTCTGCTATTTTCAGTCACCTGCTCTATTTTTTTAGCAAACTACGTTTTTGTCCCTGTGGTTTATTAAACGTTTCAGTTTTGGTCCTTGTTATTTTAAAATTATAGTTTTCTTCCTTATAGTTAATAATTTCATATTTATAGTTTGCAATTAATTGTTGTTTTAGGTGTCGTTTGATTAATTTTCATTAAATGTGTACAGATAAAGTTGTCTATATAGATTAATCTATCTATATAGATTGAGAAAGTTTTTGTTTGGAAGGATTTTTTCATAATTGAAAGAACGTGTTTTTTAATAGGAGGGTAGGTTTGGAAAAAATTGATTTTTTATGTTTCTACATAAATCTGTCGCTAAAAGTTTACTGAATAAGTCATTTTATATATCATTAAGGCACTACCAAACGGTCATGTATAGCTAACCGAGTAAGTTGCGATTATCATTAAACCCATTAAGCTACTAGCAGACATGCCCATTCATACGAAAAATCAATGATGTGGTTAACCTTGGGGACATATGAAGTAATAATTACAAACTATAAGAATGAAAACTCCAATGTCGAATTCGAGTAAAAGGCCGTTTATTAAATGTTTACCCGAAAAGTGTCTTTCAGGTCAATTTATCTTATCGGATGAACATGACAGAGATCGAAAATCTTACCCGATAAGAATGATGACAATGATCAAAGAGTCTTACCTTGCAAGTGAAAGTAACGACTCTTACCCAATAAACACTTACCGAATAGAAATGTTACATGCAATGTCATGTTAATGAACATTTGGATGATGCAACAAATAAAACCAAGTTTCTTTCCAAAAAGAGAAAAATCAAACCAAGCAGCCAACTAACAATACATCTGTTGTGGGTGTCAAAGAATGAATGGGACTAGTTTACAATCAAGAAGCAGCAACACAGTAAGAAAAAAACAACCATATGCCTTTCTTGTAATACTGGCAACATCATACATTAATATCATTTCGTTTCGATCTAATATTGTTTATTTCTTGAACTCCGCTCAACGTGAATCTTGGGATGTTGTAGTTATCGGGTGTCAACACCGGCTGCTGAGGATAAAGCGTGGGAGGTGGCGTCAGATTGCGTTGAGCCGGAAGTGGTGGTAGAACATTGTACTTGTAGGCCTCACCAATTGTCCTGCAAGTATTCGACAATGCTCATTAAGAAAAATAACAAGATTTTTATGTTATAAACCAACTAAAAACATGGTATAAATCAATGAAATCCAGTAAGACCAACCACACCAAATGAACATATTATATCCCACTCGAAAATAAGGTCTTGAGGGGGAGGGGGGTTACTAGGTTAGGATGTATGCAGATATGTCCTCTGCCTCAAAGTCGAAAGCAATTGTTATTGTGAAGGCCCCAAGTTTGTTACAAGAATGAACGAATAAGGTAAAAGAGAAAACTAAAAGTAGGTACGTTAAAACAAAAAAAATGTACGGAAAGACACATACCCTCTGGCCTCAACATTCGCAATATTTCGTTTTTTGGTAGTCAACATTCTGTTCTGTGAGACATAACAGGTCTTACTGTCGTCTTATAAAACTAGCCTTTTTTAACGAGAATTTAACTTTTATACATGACTCTTGAAGCTTGACATTTTATTTACCCTAATCTTATCCAATGACTAATACCCTCATCAATGTTGCTGAAATAAATCTTACAAAAGCAAGTACAATAAATCATACAAGAAACCTAATCCTACTTGGATTTGGAACCCAAAAAGGTACATCATGTGCAAAGTTGCTCATTTTAAACTTATCCTCAATATGGGACTATTCCAGGATAATATATATATATATATATATACATATATATATATATACATACATACATACATATATAGGGGAAAACCGCAAAAAAAATGAAAAACTAAGGAACACCTTGGTAAGTTAACGGTATGCACATGTGCATACTGCATACAAGTAATTTTTATTTAATATTTTGAAAAACTGTAAAAGAAACTAATAAATCATTAAATCTCATGGCATAATTATACCTTGTACTCGTGTATAATTGATCATCATCACTCAAATTGTCCCCAGGCCTCTGCAATGGTCTTTGTACCGAGGTAGACCATGGACTTGCCATAGGTAACTCATCTGAAAAATACCTTCTTCTTACCAACTGAAAAATTTATCACACAAAGTTTAGATCATATACTAAGTTGATCGAACCAATTAGGAAAAGTACAGATGTGTACCATACGGAAAAACTTCAACACAGACTCCTTGTCATATCTTGCTTCTTTTGCAGCCTGGACAATTTTTGAGGGTTAACGGCGGGAAAATGATGATGCATGAAACTCTAAGAATCTTTTAAAACAATCATGAACTGCATTTTTCTCGTGAAAAAAAAAATTCCAGCAGATGATTGTTTACTACTTTCACTCTATTAACGTACCACCCACTTTTTGGTCATTGTGAATCAGATTCAAACATGCTTTCTGTATGATTTTCTGGATCTCAATGATCAAATCATTAGAATATGAACCAATCTCTTTTCAGATTAAAATAACTAAATGGAGCCATGGAGGTAAGGGCTTGCCAAGTGGAGAGGACTCCAACGGCCAACAAGCCAACAACCACAATAGTAAGAACAATGGCTTTTTTGGAAAAGAAATTCATTTTATGTGTTCTTAATATGTCTTCTATTTTGACTTAATTGTCCTGTATGTACTACCCGCGATAAAGAGCCATGAGCACCTCTCTTCTTTGATTGCTCTTTATGACATAACCCCCTAAGGTGTTTCTGAGAGTCATAAATAAGTAGTGAAGAAAAATAACAGAAGGTGATAATAACCATTCATGATCAGTAACATAGCCAGGATTCAGAACCTTAATGCAAAACATAAAGAAAAGATTGCAAGGACCAAACTAAGTATGCTCGAGTGGTTGGGACTTTATTGAGGTTTGGACACGGAAACAGCCTCTCTACAAGGGGTAGAGAGTAAGGTCTGCATACATCTTACCCTCCCCAGACCTCACCTCTGTGTTACCAGGTCTCTTTGGTTTGGTTTTAACCAGAGGTTTGGAGTTCAAAATCCCATACTTGTGTATAATGTATTCCTCGGTGAATTGACCAATGTACGTCAGTGGGCGGCAAACGTTTCATCCCACGGGTATGGTCTCACGAACCTCCAATGATTACAAATCAGTATTGAATATTCCACTTAGTTTACAAAGAACAGCTTCCTTGTTGGTTACTTACTTAAAATCTGGGTTCTGAAAATTGCATTATTTGGTCATTCATTAAGTAATGCTTGATGCAAATCTTACCGCCATAAGCCCTCCGCTTCCAGGAAAACTGTCGATCAGAGGAAGTTCTTCATTTGATGGAAGCAAACCCTGCTTCTCAACCCATTGGCGAGCCATGTCAACAAGATTGCCACTGCTACCTCTTGTGCCTTCTTTCACAGCTATGTCTGCTTTGTTACCAATGACGAGGAATGGTACAGGGAGGCCACCAGGACCGCCATTTGCTAGAGGGGCCGAAAATGTCCCAGTTGCTGCAATCTCTGCGGCCCATTTCTTCAAACTTGTTTTTGTCCTTCTTTGAGAGAGATCATGTACAAAAATAACACCTGCACACATATTTAGTGGCAAAATAGCAAGTTGGAGGTGCAATTTTAATCACATATTGATGGACCTCCTATTCAATTCACCTACGCAAGGAGGAGCAGAAGGAATATTTAAATGAACATCACTGGCAGAGGCAAGAGTATTTTGTTTCCATTTCCACTTTAACGCGTCAGCTACAAATGTGATAACCGCCATCTCCAAGCTCTCTTCATTAGTCGATTCAACAGGCAATAACGCTCTGCATGCACCAACCAGCCATTGGGGTCATTGCCATCAAAGGTTGGCATCTCCAACCGTCGGCCTTTTAATAGCGAAGAACCGTCTCTCATCACTGCCCCTTTCACGTTCAACCCTTGTTTTCTGGCGGCTCGTCGTTCCATCCCCCCCCCCCCCCCCCCCCCGCGCGCGGCGGGAAGCATTCCCTCTTGCAATTGAAGTGTAGCGATCTGCCGCATCATAGTCTGCATATTCTCCTCTATTCACGTCACCACAGCTTGAAACATCTCCAGACTTTCTTCCACCTCTTCGACGCATGAAGATACTGATCTCGGTATTGACTTTCCCGAATCGATGCTCTGATACCAAATGTTGCACCACAGCTTTGAAGGATGTGGGTTTTCAATTATAATTCAAAAAGAACTGAAGGAAAATTCCAGTATTCGAGAGACTGGATGCTCTCTCAAGGGATTTCGCCACATTACTAACAAAATAAGATACCTCCTTCAGTTATTCTATTTATTCCTACTCTATTTATTCCCTATGCAAAACAGAAAGTGGAAGTTGAAACAAAATCTTCCTTTGCCAGTGATGTTCATTTAAATATTCCTTTTGCCCCTCCTTGCATAGGTGAATCGAATAGGGGGTCCATCACATATGCAACAGAACAAGTGCTACGCATAAATATAGACATATATGCAGATTTTACATCATGACGATAAAAGTGAATCAAATTTACAACTCATGGTACATTTGATCAAAATTAGGAGTGTCATTTTCAGTAGGGCAGAATGCATCAAAATGCAGTAAAAGTTTGGTTTAGTTCCCATTTAGTGTAACGAATAAATTTTTTCTTAATCGATGTAATAAAGTTTCAAAATTTCCTATTCCGTACCCATTTTGATCGGTAACCTACTGATCTACTAACATTTGATGATGTGGATACCTACTGATCTACTAACATTTGATGATGTGGATACCCGTTTACGAAAATGGTTACTGCTAAGTAAACGATAAACTTGACACTCACGTCAAGAAATGCTACAAAATAAGCAGGTTAATGGTCAAATGGGTACAACATAGGAAATTTTGAACCTTTGTTACATTTGAAAAAAAAATTACTTGTTACACTAAATAGGAACCACTGAAAAATTCGTTTCATTTTGATGCATTTTGCCCTTTTCAGTAAACGAACAAAATGCAAGAGAAAGGTTGTGTACAAAGACTTCCTTGCCAACACTTCAAAGCCGCGTCTGAGTAAAGTGGGGTCACACAATATTGAACTTACCAGCGGAATAGTGCAAAGTAGATCATAATCAAGCTATCAAATTTTCTGTCTTTAATTTTGACTCTATTTTTCAAGCAAGGTTGAAGTTTGGACAAATAAGAAGTTCCAATACATACCATTTATTTGAGAATAAAAGATGGAACGACAATCTGTATATCGTTCATGTCCAGAGACATCCCAGAGTTCAACGAAGAATTCTCTATCCTTGTCGCCTTTAATGCTATCTGAAGAGCTACTAGGAGTTCCATAAGTAAAATGCTGCATTAAAATAACAAGAAGTTATTTCATTAAAACCATCATTCCTTTGGTGCAAGCTATCTATGGAGGGAGATAAAGACTTTGCAGCTAACCTTCACATCTACTGTACACCCAATTGTTTGAGGAGGACGTGCTGTTGATGTACCTTTCACAATCAGATTAACAAGAGAAGTTTTTCCCACACCTATGGATGCACAATAATACATTTTAAGCAAGGTCATAAAAGAACTTGAATCAAAGAAAACAAGAAAGATAGAAGAATCTAAAGTAGATGAAATTCAACAGAAAACCATATTGCCAGATTTCACATAGATGAATAAAAGATGAACTCTATAAGAACTCAATATTTTACATGAAATTCCCTCATCATGAAATCTGATTGAGTTGACTAGCACTGAGCCAATATTCTGTTTCTGAACAATTCTTGGTCTGTGCAATCATAAACGTTTGTTATAACAAAAAAAAAGTTCCTCATAAAATTTAAGGAGAAAAAAAGGGATAATGGTTCAAATTTTTGGTCATATGGACCAAATGTCTCTTATATCTTTTCCTTTGCTGACCACTTTGAATCTTTTTTCCCAGACCCCACCTCCGGGTGGGATATATTGGACTCATTTGGTTCGATTTTTTGAATCTTACTTTGCCATCATGGACACCAGAGATGACAGTTGGAAAGGAAGATCAGTCTTTATTGCTATCTCTATGTTTGTATGTATACAGGGATTAAGAAATCAAAAGACATAAGAGACATTGTCTTTCCAAGTGTCTGGAATAACCATCTTCTCACAGATTTGAGCTAGGGCCTAACACCCCTGGACTCCCACCCATGAAGTAGCAGTGAAATATTCTAACACTAACTCCATTATCCAACATTTCTATATTATTTTCAACAATATACGCTTAAATAATAGCAATTTCATTGTGTTTTCTGTGCTTTCCATCTGATTTCATTACAAATATTCATCTTAGTGATATTTTGAACATAAATATGTCCCTCAAGTACAATGGAACAAACAGACTACTTGCCACCAACACAAATTTTAAAATCACTTATAACCTCCTTTGATTGACCAAATAACTCTTGCTATCCTCGCCTATTTACAGTAAAGAAATCTTCCATCTTCACTTAAACTTTTTGTAAGTATTTTTAAAGAATTAAGCAACGCTAAGTGGTCTAACCTTCTACCCTTAATTTCCTCAGCGGAGACTATACAAACACTTAAGTGGAACTGCGGAAGCATAAGGAACTCATCTAGATATATTATGTTAGCATGTGAGGGTTGTGCTAAATTGTGTGAGCATGTGAGGATTAAAACTCTGGTATGATGTTAATATTCATATAAATTACTTTTCTTAATTACTAGATTCATTGTTACATTGATACAAATACTTGGAAAACATGGGAAAGATTCTGTCCAAGTTGAGAAAAGTTGGTCGATGAATATAAGTTGAGCAAAGTAGATTCATCCTTGATTAATTTTTTGAGACACTTGACAATTATTTGCTAGTGAACCAATGGCGACAACTCCTAGGAAGCAAATTAAAAGGCCCTAATACATTGAACTGGCAGTGCAAGGCTTAACACCTAGGAAGCTACTTAGGTGGCCCTAGACCCCTGATTGGAATAGCAGCGCATCTTATAACTGGTAAGAAATATAAAGGATAAACAAAATTTCAGAAACATTCGGGGATTCAAGTTTACAACCTTCCAAGCACACAAGGCTATCTCTCAACCATCTACCGTTTGTAAACCCTCCTAGCATCTTGGACTCGAAAAGCCAGCTAATCAATGATTGGCTTCTAAAAGAAGAAACAGAATAGAAGGAAGAAGGGGACATAACCAGATAATCTATTATTGCAGCGCCTCAGTAACAAAGGTCATTCCATTAGGGTTCTAATCAATACTAATATCACCTCCCTAGATACCATGAAACATGAAGAGACTCTTTAAGCTCCAGATTTATCACCGAGATAACTTGCCAAAGGACTGAATCAGACCCAATACCTGAAGATAGGACATCCTTATAAGTTGAATCATATCAAATTCAATTTTTTTTATCCATCGCCGTTTCCATCCTCCGGCATCCTGATAAGTTTACGCTGTTATGCACTACTAGCAAAAAGAAGAAAGTGATGTATCTTCACCATCTTAAACTTCAAAAGAGCATGTAGTATGCTCATAAGTCATAAACAGGTGGCACGTTTGCTAAAATCCATGGTAGTAATTCTTAGCTATGATTTTATCACATAAGCACCATGGCATCCTACTCCAACCCTAAATTCCTCCAATGACAACCAGTACGCTAGTATGGCATCTATGATATCAAAAGGCTGATTTATTGTTTAAAATAAATGTTGGACTAACCCAGAAACATGGTCTACTACTTGAATAAAAGCATAACAGATCGGCGTTTAGCAATCAAAAGACATGTGTGCTTGCAAACCCCAAAAACAGTATCGTGAAGCAATGAACAACCAAAATCATTACAAACAACACATAGATCCAATTGATAGCAGGTTCAATTTTAAAACGGAACAAAGTGAAATCCAACACTGGAATAAGATCTAACTATTACTCACCACATACCAACTTAACAACGGAACATAGAACCACATCAAATCCGACGACTCAACGCAAGAAAACAATAACAAGAAATGTAAGGAAGCAGTTACCTGAGTCCCCAACAACAAGAACTCGAACCTGCCCACAAGGAGGGCCTCCATTTTGCTCTTTGTTGATCTCCCTTTCGCGCTCCCTCCAAAACATGTTATACTAACCTTCTTCCTTGCCGCATTAAAGCACCAAAGTTTTCGGCTACAAATTTCGGCCGATCTGTTTATACCCTAGTTCCTGAATTAAGATTTTAGATTCATTGGTTACGATTTATTCTAACCTCTGATTCGTGAAAGGGGATTTCTTCAACTGTAAAGTGACGATCTCAGCGAACCTAAATTGGAGGGTTTTGGTATAGAGCTACTCTCTATACTAGTTGAAGAATCCGTATTTCAGAAAACGGGATTCAGATCGTTGATGTCAAAATCAAATCCCTGTTTAGATCAGAATTATATGTAATTGATTGAAGCTATGATCTCAGATTTCGAAAAGCAAGTTTGAGGCACAAGATTCGGTGCTCATATTATTATAACAACCTTTGTTTTACGCATAATATCGTTACCAATTCAATAAATTTGGGGGTAAAATTCTCCATCTCTGTTAAGTTTATTTGATAAGATACTAAGATAGTTTGTTTTTTATAAATTTTTTTATCAAACTCTTTATGTCTGATTTGTTAAGAAGTAAGCTTATTCAGACGGGTTGTTTTTTTAATTTTTTCAAAAGCAGTTGTGTTTTATTTTTCTGTTATCTGGTAAGAGGTAAACCAACCTTTTATTTTCTTTTTATTGTTCTTCAAACCCTCAACAACAACGTGTCTCCATCGATTAACCTTAATCGATCATTTCTCTCAATCGATCCTTACCAAATCAATACTAACCTCTCTTAATTGATGTATTATAATAGGATTTAAATGTGTTAAACATCGTTAACGACATATTTTTGTTTAAATGAATGTTAATAATATAATTTAGATGTAAAATTCGTAATTATAATGGATAAATATGTGAAATTATATAAGTTTATCTATAATTTCAACATTATAAATTTTTAAAGAGTAAAATAGATAATTTAAACAAATCCAGACATTTCTCATGTTACAAAAACAAATAGGACAATTATGTATGTTGTTGGACTGGTATTGTCATGTTGAACTACTAGTATGACAAGGAACAACAAGATGGTGTTGGTTGTTCTGTACCCTCTTATGTAACAGAGTTTTAAGCTTTACGCTGATGTATGTGAGGTTTTAGCCATCTTGCTTGACCGATTACTCGATATGGAACATCAGGATTTGGTAAAGACATTTGATGCTTATGCTAGTACCGCAAAACAGATTGATGAGCTGGTAGGTTTCTACAAATGGTTCAAGGATACTGGGGTTGCAAGATCATTAGAGTGTCCAGAAATTCAAAGGATAATTTGGATATTTGTGAGACATCGGAAGAATTTGTAAGACATAGAGCTAAAGTTACGAAAAGAAGAAACTTGAGGTTGTGAAACAAGTTAAAGAGGTGGATCCATTTTCTGATATGAATGAAATAAAGGCTTTTCATGCACCGGGGGACTTGTGCTACCCCATCGCCGCGTGAGGTTGAGCCGCCTGAGGCCCAACACAATAGTGATTAGTGGTCCTAAGAGAAGAGGAAATGCCAGCTGATGATCAAGGAAATAGATTAGCATTGGCAATTGCTTGTGCAAATAACTGGTTTGGCAACAGCATATTAAGGATGGAATGTAAGGTCAAGTTAGTCTCGTCAAGAACAAAATTCACATCAGTGTTTTCAAGGGTTTTCTTGGTTTTTATTTAGATTGAAATATGTTATTTACATGAGTTGTATATCAATCTTTTAGGGGATTTTCTTGTTTTTTTATTTAGAGTGAAGTTTTTATTGATGGCAAGTACGTAAACATTAAGAACATATACAATATCATAAAACAAAACCACATAAGAACCCTAATATTTTCTTGACCACTAATTGTCATTGCCTCCTCTCTTAGGAATACTAAGTCATCAGTGTGTTGCAGTTTAGGCTCAGTTGACTCTACCTCAGGAGGTGGTTGGGGAGCATAAGTCTCTGGTCATGGAAAAGCCTTTACTTCATTTGTATCAGGAACCAGATCTTCCTATTTAACTTATTCCACTTTATGTCTTTATGGTTTTTCATAGCTTTAACTTTATGTACCATAAATTATTCCTGTGTCTAGCAATTTCCAGTTTATGATTTGAACTTCTGGATAATCTGAAGATCTTCTAGCACCCATGCTCTTGTATCAATTATTAAGATGAGCTGGTAGATTTTAATAATTGATACAAGAGTGTGGGTGCTAGAAGATCATCCGAGTGTCCAGAAGTTCAAATCATAAACTGGAAATTGCTAGACACAGGAATAATTTATGGTACACAAAGTTAAAGCTATGAAAAACCATCGAGAAGAAAGTGGAATAAGTTAAATAGGAAGATCCGGTTCCTGATACAAATGAAATAAAGGCTTTTCCATGACCAGAGACTTATGCTCCCCAACCACCTCCTGAGGTAGAGTCGACTGAGCCTAAACCGCAACACAACTTGTGACTTAGTATTCCCACGAGAGGAGGCACTGGCAATTAGTGGTCAAGGAAATACTAGGGTTGTTAGGTGGTTTTGTTCCGGGAGTTGCTTGTGCAAGAACAAACGGTTTGATAAAAGTATGCTAAGAATGAAAAGCAAGGTCAAGTTAGTCTAGCCAAGAACAAAACCTATATCTGGGGTTTTAAGGGGTTTTCTTGTATTTATTTACATGAGTTTTACAAAATCTGTAGGGTTTTTTTTTTTAATTTTTAGTTAGATTTAAGTTTTTGATTTACAAGAGTTTTTTTAACCTGTAAGAACATCAATAACAACTGCATAAAGATCAAGAACATAATAATAAATTTGTGCAAATTCATTAAAAAACTGTACCATAAACTTTGGTATGCAAATTTTTATGATACAATTTGTAATGAATTTGCACCAGTTTATTATATATGTTACTTAATGTTTATGCACTTGTTATCAATAAAACTTCACTCTAAATAAAAAAAAACAAGAAATCTCCTAAAAGACTGATATACAACTCATGTAAATAAATATTTCAATATAAAAAAACCAAGATAACCCCTAAAAACCCCATCGTGAATTTTGTTCTTCACAAGACTAAATTGACCTTACATTCCATCCTTAATATACTGTTGCCAAACCATTTACTCGCACAATCAGCCAATGCAAATTTATTTCCTTGGTCATCAGCTGTCATTGCCGCAACTCTTAGGTCCACTAGTCACTAATGTGTTGTGCTTCAGGCTTATGCGGCTCGACGTCATGAGTCGATGGGGGTAGCATAGGTCTTTGGTCCACGAAAAGCCTTTATTTCATTCATATCAGAGAATGGATCTACCTCTTTAACTTGTTTCACAACCTCAAGTTTTCTTCTTTTCATAGCTTTAGCTCTATGCCTCACAAATTCTTCTGATGTCTAGCAAATATCCAATTATCCTTTGGATTTCTAGATACCCTGATGATCTTGCAACACCAATCTCCTTGCACCAATTATAGAAACCTACTAGCTCATCAATCTGTTTTGCGGCACTAGCATAAGCATCAAATGCTTCATGTGATACTGATGCTCCGTATCAAAGAATTGATCAAGCAAGATGGCTGAAACCTCACATATATCAGCTAAAAACTTGAATTCTCTTGCACAAAAGGGTATAAGGCAACAAAATCATATTGTAATCAAGCAAGTAGGTTTATTTCACTGTATGATTAGCTTGGAAAGTACACGGTAATGAATTTTCCCAATTTTCTTTTCAGGGAGGTGGTTCATGGGGGTTTCTAGCTAACGATATGTTCTACAAAGGTTGTAACTGATGTATCGTCTCAAAAAATCACTTTTACCTTAACAATCGGTTTTTTAGGGTCAAAAGGGTACGATGAATTTTACATATTTACTTGTGTTTTTCTGAATCTATCTTATGGTACTCGAGTCCTTCTAAGTCCAAGATGTCATAGAAAATGGAGAATATACGATTGTCTTATGGTTTATTTTATGTTATGAATAAAATTTCATTATCATAACAATATTGGATTTTTGCGTGTAAGCAGATTTCTGTTGATCCCATTTCATCAATAATTCAAAGTTAAGTCACTTAATCTATTGGATTTCCAGGTAATAGGGGAATCACATGAATTACTTAAATTCCTACATACCTTAGGGTTATTTATACCCTTTTGACAAAATCCTTTTGATATCTTATGATTTATTTAATTTGAAGATTACAACGATAATTTTATATTTTTAGCATGATACCAAAAATAATACGTGTTTTGCATATCAAACCAACATCAATGTTTTAATACCTTAATGGTATTTTCAGAAATTTTGTCATGAGATAAATAAATATTGGTTTGACGACGTAAAGTTCAGTTCACACTTTTAACATCTCATTGGTGTTTTTTTTGGAGCTTTTGGTAAAAAACCAAAATATATATGAGTTGGAAGTGTAAGATTGGAAAATTATAAGTCGGAACTTATAAACATTTAGATATTATGTAGAGAAGACAATTCTAAAACTAAGAAGTTGTTTACCCAAATGCTTACTCGGTAAGTGTTTACGGGTAGAAATCAACATTATAATTGATAAGTTTGTAGTATATCAAAACAATATTCTATACAACAATTTACCCGATAAGTACTTACCTGGGTAAGAGTCGTCATCCTCACTTACCGGGTAAGACTCTCAATCCTTATCATTGCTCTTATCAGGTAAGATTCTTGGCCCTTGACATGTTCATCCAATGAGGGAAAATGCCCAATAAGCACTTATAGGGTAAGAGTTTAGTAAATGGCCCCTAAATCCGTGATTAAGTTACTAGACATTTTAATACCAAATTAAAACCATTGACTTAATTAACCACAAGGGTGGTGTCCGATTGGTTTAAATTTGGACTTCAAAAGGTCAAAAGTGCCTGAAGATCTCAGGTATGAAGTCCAAGGAGGAATAAAAATCTCATTGCGGCGAGTGATGAGATGAAATTGGGTTGAATAGCAAATAATATTGAGTTGAAAACCACATCACTCACCACATCAGCTGATAACGTGTAAAAGAGAAAATAAATCAAAGATAATGAAAATTGTAAATTCTTATTAATCATAAGCCTTTTAATAAACAAGACTACATAGAGTTCATAATGTTTATCAATACACATTACCTTTTTCTTTTCATGTTCCCAATATACTTTTGACACCCTTCACTCATGCCTTCACCCTCTCATACCTTTATGTTTTCTCCCCATCCCCCAATGTGAGATTCAAACTGATATTCACCATGAGTTATTAAAAGTTATCTCATTCATCTCCCATTCAATTGTTCTAGAACTCTCGGTCTCGGTCTCGCTCTCGATCTTTTGATTCTTTGCTCTTGATGTAAATCGAATACAATTGTGGAGTCGTTTAAATATGTTGGATTTTAAATATATTGAATTTTAAATTGTCATACAATTTTTTCATCGATAGACTATATAATTGGAACCATAACTCTTATTTATTCAAATTGTATTAATATGTAAAGACCAAATGTAACTTATATCATCGTTAAATCTTTTCTAATAAAACCAGTGAAACTTCAAAATCGTTAAAATTTAGGGCTCCCGCCACATTGTACGGATACACAACTAGTATAATGTAATAAAAGACTCTTATTCGGTTAGTATTTATTTAAATAGGAAGAGTTTACCAATAATTCAATTTAATGATCGAGAATATTACTCGATAAAATAACTGATAATAGTGATTTTTTAATTTTCAAAATATGAAAATATAGCGGGTAAGAAGATTGGGTCGGATCCTAGATAACAGGATCCATTTAAAAGCTCAAAAACGCAACTGAAAACCGCCATAACTAGAGCTAGCCTCATTTCCTCCCATCATCGGATGGCAAGCATGAAGCAAGTTGTTCAGCCATTCGTTCGTCAAATTTTTGAATTCAGTATCCTCGAATCTTGTGGTTTTCGTTCATTTACTAACCTCAAGATTTGTGACTCGAAATTCTGTCTTCAAATTCCCACATTCTCCTTTGAACTCGTGTCCGCCAAACGTTCTTCATATATAGAAATTGATCCACACAATTATAGCTTGCGATTTCCATTAATTATTGGCATCTCCATTGAAGAGGATCCAATAAAACAGATCCATCTTTTGATTCTTGAACAAATTGCAACTTTTAGTTTATAGAGAGGAGAGAAATGGAAGAGCGCAGCAATTCTCAGATGAAGATTGAAAAGGGGGATTATGGTTACGTTCTTGAAGATGTTCCTCATCTGACTGATTATATTCCTGATCTCAAAGTAATCTCTCTCTATTTGTTCCTCATTTGAGCATTTTCATTTGGTAATGAGATGATTTGTTCTTATTGTTTTTGGTTATTTAAAAAAATACCTTCTATTTGCCCTATCAAAATTGCGACCAAGCTTTTTGGATGTTCATGAAAATATCTACCCATTATTATGGTAAATTGTTTCTATTGATATGAATTCACAACTTTGGATGGGTATTTTGTATATTTGAGGAATAATCAAATGCTCTCCTTTAATATGCTGCAAATGAAACGTTGCAATTTTCATGGAAAAGTATACTTTTGTTATGAGATAAGTGTTCCATAGGTAACCGGATCCTAAAAGGCTCGTCATGGCATTTCGCATTTACCCCCATAGCCGTGCAAGGCAATGCGCAGGCCATGGTGTCTTAACACGCGTTATGGCACAAGTTTTTTAGTTTTTACCTTTTACTAATATATATGCTTTCTTTATTTTTATATGAAATTAATTTGTTCAATATCATTGAGTGATAGTAGAAAAATATATGCATATATATATAATTATAGAGGGAGGTTCGAAAACCTGCAAAAAAATGAAAAACCGAGGAATACCCTGATAACTATTCTTCTGGACGATATGCACTTGTGCATACACGTAATTGAAGCTCTTTCTTGGTTTTGATGCACGTTTGCATGTTATGCACATGTGCATACCGGACAAATTGCTTACAGATTACTTGTATGCACATGTGCATATCGTCGAGATGAACCTTTACCAGGGTGTTTCTCAGGGTTTCATTTTTTTGAGGTTTTCCAACCCTATAATTATATACATGATATACAAACTTGCTCGTTAAGCCATGCCTTGAAAAATGCCATGGCTCCTAAGGAAACGATGCTTGACCTCGTCACCACATCACACTTCACATCATTCAGAACCTTATAGTATATCATCTCATGTCGGTTGTGGACCTTTTGCATGATATGCTGAAGGGTTTTGATCAAATTTTTGTTGGAGGTCATGACACTATAATTGGTTTTTGTTCATGTAAGGCTGTGAAATCAGAGTTATATTTGTTCATTTAAGGCTGATCAGGATACAATTCTTTGGTCCTGGGAGAAGGTCACACTTTGACTTCGGCTGTCACCAAAGTTGATGTGGATATATGATTTTGAACAACATCAAATACACAATATAGCAGAAAGATTAAGTTTGGTGTTAAATTTGCTGCAAACTAATATCAAAATAATAATTTCAAAGCAAGAGTTTGATCGTTTATGGATTCCTTCTAGATTTAAGGTGGAATCTTTTCTTGTGAAAAATATAGTTAATCTATATGGCAAGTTAGTTATGACATCCATATTGCTACCACACATGAGATATAGGGGTTAATGCTAAATGGAACATGAATCATGATTTGTGACTTCTCTTTCTATGGTCTTTTTGATAAATATAGTTAGATAGAACTAACTCCCAAAGCCAACTCAAAAGAGGAGGGGCCTAACCACATATGTACGTATACTAATATTGACAACCTGGCGATATGGGACAAATACTACTTCAATACACTCCTTCAGGCGTAGCGTGCAGGCCATGGTTCAAACAAACAAATGCAATTCCCACAACTAAATGCCCGCTCTGGTACCATGATAAATGGGTTTAGATAGAAACTTGCTCACAATAGGTAGCTCAAAAGAAGAGGGTGCCCAAACCACATATATACATATACGTTGAGGACCTGACAATGGGAGACAAATACCACTTCCATACTTTTTTGGTAAATAATATAATAGGTTTTCAAGTATTTTTTTTCATTACTTGCTGCATGGAACTTGGGTGTGAGCCTTGCAGCAACCAGTAAGGTTTTATGACAAGGTCATGGTTTTCAGTCACAAGAAAAACCTCTTCGCATAATGCACTCCCCAATCTCATAAAGCCGAGTAGCCATGGTGCATGAGAGCTGTATTACATGGACTCTATATGCTACATGGACTATATTCAGTGAACTAATCATAGATTCACTTTTGTTGTGTGTTATTTATTTTCTACAGACTCACCACAATCCAATGCGATTCAATCCTGCGTATTCAGTTGTAAGGTGAGTATATTTTCATCTTCTTATGGTTCAACCTGCAATATGAAATTTTCACATGATTTTAATCTCTAATAACAGTATGTCCTACCGAATTTCAGGCAATATTTTGTTGATTATGATGATACTGTGCCAGAAAAGGTAAGTTATCAAATTTCTTTAATTCTTATGTGTTAAATAGCTATAGTTTGCCGAAAGGTCCTCACACGCTCTAAAAGGGTAACTAGTACTCGCAATATACAGATTTGATGCAGATTTTGTTACTGATTTCACCAACATCATCAAATCTGTCATATTTCTTATACGGTTTCATGTTGTTATCATTAACCCAAAATATTTTAAAGCTAAAAGTATATCAATTGAATTTCGGAACTCAAAGTGTACCCTTTTATTTAAACATGTGGATCAGTGATTTGAGTTATGTATGTTTGACAGAAACTTCTGAAACAAAATTATGGCACTCCCTTAATTGAAGACATCAAAGTAATACAGTTATGAATTTTAGAGTAAAAACACAATTGCAAGTAGATCCATCGGACAGATTTGCTTATGTCTTCTTGTAGGTTGTTGTCCACAAGGATAGTCCAAGAGGAGTACATTTTCGAAGGGCTGGACCCCGCCAAAAGGTATACTATTTACTTGTAGAATTTGTTTTTTAACCAGTAATGAGAAACGTAGTTTTGTTAAGAAATAGCCTTAAATGCTGCAGGTTTATTTTGCATCAGATGAGGTGCATGCTTGTATCGTAACATGTGGTGGTTTGTGCCCTGGGTTAAATACAGTGATTAGGGAAATTGTATGTGCCCTTTATCACATTTATGGCGCTACCAGAGTTCTTGGGATTGATGTAAGTCTCTGAATCAACATCTCAAAATTTTTATTTTCAAAGCATTTCTTAGTGTTTGACAACTCTAATTCGAAACTTTCATGACTTGGCCATGGGTGCATGCATACTTTTATTTTGGTAACTGTGGGTGTCCAGCCGTCCAGGCCAACTTGTGTGCTCCTCGAGTAATCCCATAGGACCCTGAAGATAATAGGAAATCCCGAGTGGCCCTTAGGAGACTAACCGGGGAGGAACCCCAAGACCCCTTTATTTGCCAGTTGAGCTGGCCTTCATGGTTGATGCATGCATACTTGAATTCCCATATATGTTGATATTATACAATGTAAAACCTTTTAGCCGTAAGTTACCTTCTCATATAACTTCTTAGAGAAAAATAACAGGTACGTAATAAAGACTTCCTAGAGAAGGACATTTGCCGGTGTTCTCAAAGCTTGTTTGTATTCTTGTTTATGGATAGGAAATGAGTTCCATAATGTTCCACAATAAAATATGAATGTCACTGTCGTCTGCTTCTGAACAACGTTAAGAGGATTCTCAGACAAATATGTTCGTTTTAAGCTTTTGAGTCTAGTTTTTACCAGTCAAGACAATATGATTCTTTTAGTAACAGGGAATCTGGATTTGAGTAGATGAATTAACGATGAGTTTGATGTTACCTGTGTATTGACCTTGACTTCTTTTTTTAATTCATAAGTAGTTTTGAGTAGTGAGAATAGTATAGAAACAAATAAATGATCCCCATGCAATGATATCCGGAAATGGCCAAACCAGATTTCATAAAACCAAACCGAAGTTAGGGGGCTATTCGGTTGCTTTCTATTAAGCTCTATCTGGATTAAGCCTTCTGTATGGATTAGTTAAATTGCTATTGTTTGTTGTGCTGACTATTTTACCCATCAGTCTAGATTAAGCACCGATTAAAATAACTGTTTGATGAACATAATAAAAAAACAGCCCATTAGCTTGGCTGAATGATGCAAATGCTTATATGAATGTCCATATGACAACCCTTGATGATGCAAATTCTTTTCTGCAGGGAGGATACAGAGGTTTCTACTCAAAAAATACCATAACATTGACACCCAAATTTGTGAATGATATCCATAAACGCGGTGGTACAATTCTTGGTTCCTCTCGAGGGGGTCATGAAAAATCAAAGATAGTTGACAGCATTCAGGACCGTGGTATCAATCAGGTGGTTGAAGTTTGAGATATAGCAACCTTCTTTTTTAGAATTTGATTAATATTTTTCCGCTAAGAGTTCATGGTACTTGACGTCTGATTGAGTTATTTGAATGTTTCAGGTTTATATAATTGGAGGTGATGGAACTCAAAAAGGTGCAGCCGTTATTTATGAAGTAGGTTACTTGATAACTTTATAAGAGTTATCTTCAGGTGCTATATATCTTATTGTGGTTAATTTTCTTAACTTACTTATCTAGGCCATTTAGAGCTTGTTTGTTAGCAGCTTTATGAGCTTAACGAGACTCACAACTTATTCGGTCAGCTACATATGAATGTTTGGTAGTGGCTTAATGATATAGAAAATGGCTTATTTTCAGTAAGCTTTTAGGGGAAGGTTTATGCAGAAAGCCAAGTTTTTTCCAAACCATGAAAAAGACATGTTTATCCATCCATGAAAAAACACTCCCAAACAAAAACCTTCTCAATCTATACAGACAAATTAATGCACAAAGACATTTTTATCCATACAGGACTTAAGAAACATCCCTTAGTCACTTACTCTTGTGTCCCTTCATTTATCTTTTGTGGTATAGTTGAGACTTGCAAGAGCTTGTGAGCCGGCTGGCCCATTAGAAAGCATAGCAAGCTCAAGCTTAAGCCAAGCTGACCCACCTCTTTTCACTACCGAGCCTGTTGAGAACAATAGTGTAATTAATATTTGGTTTGTCCGCTACTTTTAGTCTCTTGGAGACTTACTAGCTACATTTCTACGAATGGTTTATTGATCATTTTGTTTTTAAAGGTTTATTTTTAATCTTATACAGGTCCATATGAAACTGAACCAAGCTTTAAACTTATATGATCTCATAGGAACTGAGCCTAGATGAGCTGATCCTGCACTAGCCTATATGAGTCCATAGGAACCGATCATATAGCCGAGCCAAAACTTTAGGCTTTTGTGAGCCACATACTGAGCCTATATACATCATTCGTACTCATTTCAGATTCATTATATATAACAGGAAATCAGACAACGTGGGATTAAAGCTGTTGTGGCTGGGATTCCGAAGACAATTGACAATGACATTGCGGTATCTTCGTATCTGGCTAAATTAATTTTGGTTTTTTGTATTTCTCAAAATGCATCAAAGTTTGGTTTAGTTCCTATTTAGTATAACATTTTTTTTCTCAACGGATGTAAGAAAGTTTTAAAATTCCTTATTTTGTATCTATTTGACCATGACCATGACCATAACCTGTTCGTCTTGTAACATTTGATGACAACGTCAAAATGGGTACAAAATAAGATATTTTTGAAATTTTGTTACATTGAATGAGAAAAAAAAATATTTTTTACACTAAATAGGAACCAAGACAAACTTCCATTTGTCCCTTTGTTTATTGGTTTAGGTGGTTGTTGCCTTTTTGACTTGCATATCTACATTTTATTTCGTCTGCGCACATTTTACCCTTATGGCGTGATATACCGGGTTTGTTTGGTTTGAATTGGTTTATATCCACATTTTATTTCAGGTCATTGACAGGTCATTTGGTTTTGATACGGCCGTTGAAGAGGCTCAAAAAGCCATTAATGCCGCACATGTTGAGGCAGAGAGTGCGGAAAACGGCATAGGGGTAGTTAAACTAATGGGGCGCTACAGTGGTAAGTTTTACCTCCAATTTACATGGAAATTGTATCACTTAGGGTTTATTTGGTTTGATGGAATGTTTTTGAGGGGTATGGGTTTCGTGGAAGGATTTGGAATCGTTGGTGTATTTGGTTCGTAGGATTTGGAATGGAATTGAATTCCATTATTTATAAATAATTATAAAAATAATTAAATTACTTTAAAACATTATTTTATATAAAGCCTACGAAATCCCATGAAATACCAACCAGCCCATGGGATTTCAATATCCTATGCTTGTTGAAATCCCAAGAATTCAAATCCAGACAATCCTTCAAACCAATGAGATTTGAATGAAATTCAATTTCAAATCCCTCCAAATTCAATCCAATCCCGCAAACCAAAAGGGACCTTAGGGATCTTTGTAGAATCGGGGTTATTTAGGATAATAACCTTATGACAGATTTGTGAATGACTCTGTCAGCAGAAGAATGCCTCTTCCTAACACAAGAATGACTCAAGATCTGTCATAAGGTCGTATAATTAAAAAAACTATATGTCAGAAGGCTATTCTTCTAAACCCTCCATATTATTAATCTAATATTCTGTTTTCTATTGTTATATTTCAGGGTTCATTGCAATGTATGCAACTCTTGCAAGTCGTGACGTGGATTTATGTTTGATCCCGGAATCGCCTTTCTATTTGGAAGGTGAAGGCGGGCTTTTCGAATATGTAGAGAAACGACTTAAGGAAAATGGGCACATGGTTATAGTCGTAGCAGAAGGAGCCGGTCAAGAGCTTGTTGCACAAAGCCATTCTACAGTCGCAAAAGATGCTTCAGGGAACAGACTACTTAAAGATGTTGGGATGTGGCTTTCTGAGAAAATTAAGGTATTAATCTTCAACTTAATGTTACTAATTACAAATTAATTATCATTTGCTTCTTTTCAGCTTCGGTTCAAATTTCTTCTTGTTACGAAAGGGTCAATGGCAGTGCATTTGCGTTACCGGTAGATCCCAACCTTCTTGGAGGTCATGGGTTCAATCCTGAACCTTCAGGAGTGTGTGTGAGTTTTGCTATATATAAATATTACGTACTTAAAAAAATTCTTCTTGTTCTAATTGAATCTTGGTTCGTTGCAGGCTCACTTTGCAACTCGCAAATCCTTGCCAATTACTCTTAAATACATTGGTAACTTTCACCGTCTTATCAAGAGAGTCTTTCTTTGTCCTATAAACTATTGAAGAAAATAATTTTGGTTCGGGTCAAAAATATATAAAATTTGACACTATTTCCATTATTAAAACACTAAGAGCATCTCCAACAGTTTATCATTAAAACATTAAGAGCATCTTCAACAGTTTATATATAATTTCCATTTTGGAGAACGATTTTGGGATTTTATTGAAGCCAAATTTTATTAAAAACTCACCAATTTTTTTATTATTTTAGAGATTCTGTTAGAGATTGATATAATATCAGTTTATTAAGAACAAAACCAATCAATTGATGTTCTTTTTGGTGGAAAGGAAGACTAAGGGGCAAAAAAGTAAAAGTAAACGTGATACAATAGCGTAATAAATACTTCTTATGATACCGTGATGGAACGTATTTTACTCGATAATATTATCTTATCAAGAGTTCCATCTTGGAAAAAGTATTTTCATTTGCCTTTATACTATTGAGTGAAATAATTTTTGGTCACTCATCTTGAAGTTAGATGTTTTTTTGCCCGCTTGTCCGATTTTTCGTCCAAAAGCTATCATTTTCGGATAAATTTACCCTCGATGATCCTCATTTTTAACAAGAGCAAACTGGTTAAGTCATGCAGATCCCACTTACATGATCCGTGCGGTTCCAAGTAATCCGGCCGACAATATTTACTGTACTCTCCTTGCTCAAAGTTGTGTTCATGGAGCCATGGCGGGTTACACCGGCTTTATTAGTGGGCTTGTGCATGGTCGACAGACTTATATTCCGTTTAGTGTAAGTTAGTCTTCTATCACCACTCGAATCTTTAAATTTCAATAATAATCAAACACAGTACCAAACCTAATGAGTCCACTATATCCCACCAAGTGAGGTTTAGGGAGGGTAAGATGTACATAGAGTTGATGTCTACCTTAAAAGATATAGTGGCTAAAAACCCATCGTATATGATGAATCTGATACAAATTTGATCAATCTTATGAAGGGAAATGTTGTTTTTGCACTGTTCAAGAAGGTACATTTTTTTTTTTCAACAAAAGACCAAATACTACCATTCAAAAATCAAAGGGCCTTCTGGCCTAGTGGTATATGGGCCTCTGGTCTTTTGTGAGATTAGGGGTTCAAACTTCATTAAAAGTGAAGAGTGTCTGAGTTCATTTGCAATCATTCAGTGAAAGTTATTTGGAATGTCCTTGTGGCTTTAGCCTAGCAGGTAAAGACGTAGACATCCTTGTTGAATGCATAACTGTTATTATGCAATGACTTGTAATCAACTATTGGGTACACTGAGCCCGTTTGGTTTGGTTTATTCGTATAATAACCATTGAATATGATTTACCAAATAGTTCTAGATTTTCTTTTTGAAATTTCAAACTAGCAATAGAAATTTTAGACCGAAAAGTCTCGTCTTTGTCCTTGTCTATAAACTTTTCATGGTTGTCTTTTTTTAAGTATATAATATTTATATACGGGAAATGAACTCATAAATCCCCTCTTCTTTGGTGAGGTTTGAATCCTTTGTTTTTCCTAGTAGGATGGCTTTTGTGGTAACTCATATATTGCTAGACTAAAGGCTCTTTGGTATGTTTGTCTTTTACTACCTCCAACAACCTCCATTGAGCCTCATGAAATGTATGATGACCTATCTTTTGCCAGACTCACTTGATAATTCAGTATATACTTTAATACGTTGAATCAGATGCATTTCGAACTCCATTAAACTTCATTGCAAGAAATGTATATGACCGGACACAACAGAACAAAAATCTGTTATCCCATGTTTGGTGCGATAATAGCAGGACAAGGATAGGGACAAAAATGCAATTTGTTTCTCCCACCAAAATAGGTGGAACAAAACTGAGAGATGGGACAAGATTATAGATTATTTAATTACTCATGTCAAAATAAAACCCTAAATACTTCAACAATGCTTTCACCTGTCTATCTCACTCTTGCCCCATTCCAGTCGGTCTTGTTTGCATACCAAAGACCCCCTTAAATTCGTATGTTCAATTTGTTATTTGCAAGTCTAATAATGTGTTTCTTCATGCAGCGTATAGTGGGTCATCATAACACAGTTGTGATTACGGATAGGATGTGGGCGCGATTGCTTTCATCCACGAATCAGCCGAGCTTTTTAAGACCACAAGAGGTGATTGAATTCCAGAAAGCGGAAGAACAACACTATTTAGCGACACATGCGTTGGATGGAGAAAACAGCAGCAGCAGTTCAGGTAACAACAACTGATCGGAAACAAGATTTTGATCGAGTGCCTTGTGAATCTGATTGACCATCTCAACGGTTTGGTCAATGTAGGAACAAGTGCTGAATGCACCAGTCTGTTCAGATGCTTAAGCTGCAGCTAGCGACTGGTTTAACATTTGATCGCTAAGCGCCTAAACGGCCTCTATTCAATAATAAAAAGGATTTATCGCTCATTTGTACTTGTCTTTTTGTTTTCAGAGTGTACTTTTGATTATGTGATTAAAATTCAATAATTTGGGGTCGTTTATTTGAATGACCTTAATGAGTTTAAATAGTGTGCTTGTATTGAAGATGAGTACATACGCAAGATAGAGCGGAACTGAACAGAACAAAAACCAGGAAAATGAGGATGGGATAAGATTGATAGATTATTAAACTACCCACGTCAAATTAAAACGCTAAAGCATTTTATAATTTCTTTCATCATCCGCCCTCATTCTCGGCTGTAGTTCTGTTCATTCGTGTTCTTGTTGTTCTTTTTGGAGGGATATGATGCAACTCAATGCATATGTCCCATGAGGTTCATGGCGACTGGCACTTACTATCTAATGCTTTTAGGAGCGGTGTGGTATGCCAGTGTATTGTCGGTCTTACTTGTTTTGGACGTGCTTCAATCGGTTAGAAATAGGCACTAGTTTAGAAAGAAACTATTCTCAATGTTTATTGGCATCTAGAATCGTAGGAAATGAGTATTTCCGATAAGACAGTTTGTCAGTTTCAAGTAAAATTCCGTCAAATCGATTGGCTTGACAATTCCAAACAGTTCCATTAAAAAAACTAGCCATTGACTTTGTAAGGATCGGCCCTTAACCTGTTAAGGCTCAAAATTGAGTATTCTCTTAGGCCTGAATGGTTGGTTCACACTCGTGTCCTTCTAGGTTTGGTCCTCAGGCCTCGGCTCGTCTCCTCTCGGATTCCGATAAATAAACCTTTGATATTTATTTATTCAGGACAAATTACACATTTTTCACACGGACCGGTTCAAGGGATCGATTTGTTCTCCTTTTTGAATTTTTAGTGCCACGTTGCAGCCTCCTATTGGTCAACTAAGTAAAATATTATTTGAACGTCCTTCAAGTTCAAATAAATAAAATCGTTCAATTGTAGTAAATGACATGTTATTTTAGCACATAATAAATAGTAATTATATGAAAAAATAAACCTACTTTTTATAATATACTAGAAGCGTACTCGCGCAATGCAACGAGATACATCATGATTTTAATATTTCATTTTATTATTTATCTCAATCGATGTTATAATATGACTTTATGTGATTTTGAGAAAGCGATGATGTTTTTATTTTTKAATAAAATATATGTTTGAAGATATCATAAAAT